ATTTGTAGGGCATACAGTCATTATGAAATATCTGACAGGTGAGTGTTTTATACAGATTTAAAGAGATGTATTTCGACCAAGAATAACTAAACAAAAAATTTAATCTGTGAACTGTCTCTGAACAATGCCATTATCAACTTCAACTTGTGGAGGCAGGATGTGTTGTGGGGGTTACAATAAAAAATAAATTTTTGGGAAAATATTTCTAAATTCTCTGAGAATATAAATTTTAAGAAAGTCAATATAGTCCTCTATGTGAAAAACAAAATGTTTAGAATAATGATGTATGACCAGGAAATGATATACTGGTAAATACACAAGGGGCAAACAAACCAATCAAAACTGATACGAAAACCAGACATTTTGATGAGACAAATGGTAACGCTCTAAAATATTAACACCAAATATATCATACAGAGTACTAATCAATACAAAACCTCACAAAAACAGAATGTCGATTCAATATTCCAATCCGATGATCAAACCTTATAAAATGTTACAAACAGTCCTTGTTGTTCTCCCAATGTTTCAACGATGTTTCAATTCTCTGGCTTTTTGTACAATTTATAGTATCTTCTTCATGGTTTTATACTTATTTCCTTGCTCATTCAACTCATTTTTCATTTTGCATTTCTACCATGGCCGTCCATTGCATCTCATTGCAGCGCAAAGACGTGGGCGAAAAATTGATTTGAGGATCAAAGCTGGGGGCGTATCTAAATAAATTCATCATAAAATAAAGTGTTATGGTGATCATGTTTTATATTATTACCCAAAGCAAGAGATTCACCTCATCCAACACTCTTTATATAACAGTTAATTATTTCATTAAGTCTATATTAAAATGGAATGTGTTGTAAAAATGATGATTATGCATTTTCTGCCTGTTTATATTTAACTTGATGCTGCGCTGAATAATGCAGTACATGTTTATGAGTCAATACTCATGAAAAGTGCATTCCAGAATCATGAAAAATGCATTCTAGAATTATGAAAAATGCATTCTAGAATCATGAAAAATGCATTATGGAACCATGAAAATGCATTATAGAATCATGAGAAATGCATTCTAGAATCATGAAAAATGCATTATGAAACCATGAAAAATGCATTCTACTATCATGAAAAATGCATTCTAGAATCATGGAAAATGCATTATGGAATCATGAAAAATGCATTCTAGAGTCATGAAAAATGCATTATGGAATCATGAAAAATGCATTCTAGAATCATGAAAATGCATTCTAGAATCATGAAAAATGCATTATAGAATCATGAAAAATGCATTATAGAGTTATGAAAAATGCATTATGGAATCATGAAAAATGCATTACAGAATCATGAAAAATGCATTATAGAATCATGAAAAATGCATTATAGATATGAGTAGACAGTTATGTCATATATTACAGGAGTCAACAGTCGTATCAAATGCATTATACAATTCAACAATCATGTCAAAGAAGTATCATAGAAGTCAAAAGTCTTTTCAAATATATTATAGGAGTCAACAGTCATATCAAATATATAAGAGGGAGTCAACAGTCATATCAAATGCATTATTATCATCAATAAACCATTTAATAAAATAGTCAATAATTTGACAATGAAGAGTATTAACAGATTAAATCTTGATTATTTATTCATTTCTATAAATCAGTAAAATATTACTATAAACATTACCTAAGTATAACCAGTAGTCACTTCATTGGAAAGTCTTAAAGGGGAACCTATAATTGTGTTTAGAAATCTAAGAATTAAAGAATAAACAAGTCGCCCAACTATTGCAAATGTCCTTCAGACATGCTAATCTAATTCTTTGATATAAAGTAATGCAATATTTTATCTATAAGCTAGAGGGCAAACTTCCTGGGTTATCATTCGATAACAAGATGGGAGAATAACTCAGGAAACAAATGTATCTAAAAATATCTACTGCTTTGTATGTTTCCAGGTTTATCAATTCTCCATTATCTTCATTTGAACAAATATTTGGCTAAGTGTCTCACATTTCTCTTCACTCTAGTTAAGCGTATTCTACTTAAATTCTTAATTAACTATTTCTTTAGCAATTCAATTATGTTAATTCATTCACAAATATTTCTCCCGATTTCATTTTGCAGTTCTTCTTCAAGAAGAAGCTGTCAAAGGCAAACCTGTTAATAAACCAATCAGAGTATAGTAGAACATGTATAATGGAATACCTCTAATGGAATACCTCAAAAGAATTAAGTCCCATTGAAATAATGGAATGCCTTAAGTCCCATTGAAATACATGTTAATTTTCAATGAACCCTCTCTGAAAGGAACACCAGTACTAATAAGGGGAAATCAAAGATGCCTCCAGGTTGGTCACGCTGCCTTATTAAGTTAATATGACAACAGCAATGTCTTCTAAATAAACACCTGAGCAACATATGAACACTTCCAACTAGGAACACCTCAATGTACAATAATACAAATAAATTCAAATTTTGGATAACTCAAAATATCAACAAAACAAAATATGAATGAATGTAAACAAATTACAATATGATATAAACACCTCAAAAAGTGAAAATCTTGAAATGTAAATACCAAACAAATCACAATATAATATAAACACCTCAAAAAGTGAAAATCTTGAATGCAAATACCAAACAGATCACAATATGATATAAACACCTCAAAAAGTGAAAATCTTGAAATGTAAATACCAAACAAATCACAATATAATATAAACACCTCAAAAAGTGAAAATCTTGAAATGCAAATACCAAACAGATCACAATATGATATAAACACCTCAAAAAGTGAAAATCTTGAAATGTAAATACCAAACAAATCACAATATAATATAAACACCTCAAAAAGTGAAAATCTTGAAATGCAAATACCAAACAGATCACAATATAATATAAACACCTCAGAAAGTGAAAATCTTGAAATGTAAATACCAAACAAATCACAATATAATATAAACACCTCAAAAAGTGAAAATCTTGAAATGCAAATACCCAAGAATGCAAACACTTCAAAATGTAGAAACACCAGAATAAAAACACCTCAAAATGTTAATACCCCAAAAATATAAATACTCCAGAAAATAAATATTTCAAAATGTAAACACATTAAATGAGAAAATGAATTCAACATAACTGCTTGACTATGCTGTTTTGGTAAGGCGGGATATCCCTACTAATGCTAACCAATTACTCACTAAAATACAATTACACCCGGGGAAATCACCGCTCTGATTCCTTCAATATCAGACTATAAGATTATTGACTTCCGATCAAGCATGTGGGCGTCAAAATAAGGCTAATATATCACGCAACCCTTTCCAAAAATGATGTTTTTCTTTTGTATTCACAAAATTGAGGTCATTTTGAATATTGACTAGCACCACCTCAAGCAATTTATAACACATTTATATATATTGTGCTGATAAGGCCGGTTCATGTGATGACAAAAAAACATTTGAATGAATGTACAATAAACAAAGCTTGTTCAGGATGATTTTTGAGGTGAAATGTTGAGTTACCATAACAAAGAACTTAAGTTTATCCCATTGTTCTTTAAGAGACAACTTCTAGCCAATTCAAGTCCTCTCGTAATACACTAAAGCTTATTAACACTTCCTGCATTACAAAGTGTACTATTTTATGACCTAACATGAATTTAAGGTAAAAGGTACTCCAGGAAGAAAAATACTTTGAAAAGATTTGTCAGGCTTATCAACTGACATTACTTATTTGTGGTAATACTTTTCTGGCAATATATATCCCCAGCATTAAAGCAACAATATGCTGAATATTATCTTGCATTTTTATTATTATCTTGCATCCAGTTGAGGTCATGAATATTACCTTGCACCCAGCTGAAAATATAATAAATATTATTCACATCCATTTGAGAATTTAAATATTATTTGCGCTCATTTGAAAATCTGAATATTGCCTTGCATCTTATTGAGACTGAATATTTCACTTTTAGTTGAGAATTTAAATTGTATTTATACCCATCTTTGAATAATAATTATACATCTTGAAAATTCCCCTGCACCAAGTTGAGGATTATTTGAATACTGATATTCTATTGCACCCTTTTTCAGTATCGGAATAAAATCTTGTAACCTGTTGAGAATCGTAACACAGTGCACTCGTTAAGAACACTTATTCTGTGATTCAGCCTCCGCAACAAATCCTATTTCCCCATCAACTTAAATCACCTGTATATCCTCGTCTTTAATCCTCCCCAACATCCAATATATAAAACAAGCCAATAGTAATAACATGAAATGCATATTAACCTGGATCAACTCCTACACACCAGTTTCCATGTCAACCTTGATATTTATTTTCAGTCTATAGAATTGACGGAGCATACCTTGACATTAGTCTGCTGCATAAATCTAATACTTTCAATATAATATTCCCCCAGAGTTTCCTTTGGCACGGTGACAGTGTATCTCAAATATTCTATGAATTAGAATAAAAATTTCAAGACCTATTGGACAACCCTCGTATTCTATCAATGAGCAATGAGAAATGTTGCATGTCTCGTATGTGATGTTTCATACGTTTTGCTTAACATTAAGTTCACCAAAGAACTTTGTTTAAAGGTTGGGTGGAAAGAGATGGTAAGGCAATAGCATATTGTGCTTCCAACTTGTCTGTTTTGCTAACTTGTAATTTTCAAAAGATCTGTTTTGTTATCATGGGTGGGTAAATGGTCTAATAGTTTAGAAGATAAATTATCTGTAAAATAGGGTTTAAAATCACTGGTGCCACTTGCAAAATGCAGATACACCTACATGGCCACTGGAACTGAATGAAAAACACACTAATAAAAACATGCCAAAATGTCACTACCTGGTAATCTATTGCAAACAGTAACCATTTGTTACAAATGCATAGTGATACTGACGAAGAACTTTGATTGTCAGTCACGAAAAACAAAGGCCATAACAATATGTCATCAGATTTTGGTGGTGACATAAAAATGTAAATTGTACTTACTCGTCATCATGTCGTGTATCCAACTTGTTGTCAGAGAATGACTTCTTTGGTATTTTACTAGATGTGTGATTGTTAGAATGTGGTAGGGTTGTGTTAAAACTTTCGTACTGTCGCTGTGCAATATTGTTAGCTGTGAATGACCTTGGTGGTCGGGATAATGTTGGGATATTATTGTATCCACCATCAATCGCGTTCTTCTCATTGGATATTGCATTGTGTGTAGTGCCACCTATAGTTCGCCGGGCGTAACGCTTGCTTGGTGACCTAAACAAAAAATGAAATATATTCCATCTTCTATGTGATATTTCCGAACACATACTGGCACATGTACATGGTACATACGATTTAACTCAATCAACTGACAAACTGCACTCTAGCAATGGAATTCAAATATTTACACTATAAATTGGGATGTTTATAATTTTCTCGCATTTCTGTAATATAAGATCTCAAAATAATGATTGTAAATTTCAAGTGAATTGGCATTTCCCCCATTTTCATCTTTTTTCCATGAAATACATGAAATGTTTCTAAAGGCATGCTGTTACATGGCCAATCTTTTTAAGTAGCAATTGAGCAGGTTAAGATAAAACAAACATTACATTCCAGTTCTAAATTTGCCGTAAAATATTCTAAGATGGTTACTAAAACACATGCTGGACTGACATCTATATATAAAGTTGAAAATGAAAAGTAATAAAAAGGAAAGGACGAAAATGCATGCATAATGTCAGGCAATCTAAATGCTTACACACTGAATGATCCATCCAAAGCCTCATACCAATAGAACCTTAAAAGCATTTTTGCTCCAAAAGCTTCCCAAAATGTTATGTCTCAACAACCTTAGAGTTGCCCATATTAAATTAGACGTGTGGATTTAAAAGCAAATTGTAGATTTAGCAAAGGGTATGCTGATGGGGAGACCATTTTTACTAATCATTGAGAATGAATTAGCCTCATATTCATTCTTTTGGATATGGAATAGCGCCTAGAACTTCTATATGAAACAGTGCCTACTGCCTAGTCCATTGATATGAAATAGTGCCTACTGTCTAGTCCTTTTACATGAAATAGTACCTACTGCCCAGTCCTTTTATTTGAAATGTTGCTCTATTTGAAAATGTGCCTTAATCTTATATGATATTGTGCCTAGTACTTTTGCATGAAATAGTACCTAGTCCTTGAATATAAAATTGTACCTAGTCCTATTCAAAATAGTACCTTGTTCTTCTTTATGAAATGTTGCCTAATCCATCTACCTAAGTATATGATATTGTGCCAGTTCTCTTAGAAATAGTGCCATGGCTACATGTGAATTGTGTTTTACATATGGGCATGAATAAAACAGCATAAATTAGTGTTATCTTAAACAATATTTAGCTCATTATCTAATAAATGAAGTTAGCATTAAAAATGCAATGTGCATGCTCATACCAATGATAATGAGGACTTGGAGATGTCTGGAAATCTTAAATGTCACAATCTAATTACAAAACCAACTCTTTATTTAAAACCAGTTTACCAAGCAAGTTCTTAATTGGAGATCAGTTACTAGGCCAGCTCAATATTAAAAGCCAGTAGTTACTTGGCCAGCTTTATATTGAAGACCTGGAGTTACTAGTCAAGACCAGTAGCTACTAGGCCAGATTTTAATGGAAGAACAATCTAGGTCAGTTCTATATTGAAAACCACTTAATAGGCCAGCTCTATATTGGAGGGCAGTAGTTTCTAGACCAGCCCTATATTGAGGACTAGTGGTTACTAAGCTAGCTCTATATTGAAGTCCAGAAATTGCAAGGTCAGCTTTAAATTGAAGACCAGTGGTTACAAGGCTAGCTCTATATTGAAACCAGTTACGAGGCCACAACAGTTACTAGTTCAGCTCTATATTGAAGACCAGTGCTTGGGTCAGTTGATATTGAAGACCAGTTACTAGGCCAGCTCTACATTGAAGAAAAGTTACTTGGCCAGCTCTAAATTGAAAACCAGTTACTAGGCCAGCTCTACATTGAAGAAAAGTTACTTGGCCAGCTCTAAATTGAAAACCAGTTACTAGGCCAGCTCTACATTGAAGAAAAGTTACTTGGCCAGCTCTAAATTCAAAAAACAGTTACTAGGCCAGCTCTACATTGAAGAAAAGTTACTTGGCCAGCTCTAAATTGAAAACCAGTTACTAGACCAGCTTTATACTAAGCATCAGTTACTGGACACACTCTGTACGGAAGATAACTAGTCCCTGTCTATAATGAACAACTTTAACACCAATTACAGCCTTCTAGATTTGAGATGAGAACATTCTTAGGTGGAAGTAACGAGGTCAGCGAGATTGGAACTCACGATCACGTGAGTCGAAGTCTAAGAGGCTTGGACTTGGTATGAGCTAGCATGCTATGTATGATGTTAGGGTTATGTATGTAAGTTAAGCCAACCTTTCAAACGTCCTTTCTATCCTAGCACGTCGTTTACTCTCCTCTAGTGTCTGGTATTCAGTTCTGCCACTGCAAAGTGGTTATTATGTGCAATTATCAAACAACCCATAAATCATGAGCAACCTTTCAAAGAGGGGAGAAGTGTAACGATCAAATGATAGCCCTATTGGCTCAGATATGTCCTTGATCAAATATTTGTTCCCTTTACTGCTCTGATCAAAGATTGTGGGACTTGATACATGACTATGCAGTCCCATCCACATGCCAGCGAATGCACTGTGCAATATTGTATCAATTTAAGCCCATGCCACATTCTCCGTTATATGCAGTAAAGGGGATACACAAATTGATACAAGACATCCAGGCCATATTAGGATATTCAAATGATAGCTCGGTATCTCCTCCTCTTAACCCTTCCATAACAACCTATGGTGGCCATTTTCTATGAACATCAAGAAATTTGTTTGGTTCGAAAAAATTGATTGGTTCAGTTTTTTTTAACGAAGGGAAAATTACTGTTCGTAAAGGCATACCAAATCAAAAATTTTAAACCATCTGACCCCTAGTACTAACCAGACCTTGTGATACCATGATGGTACCTTAAATTAGCTATGATACCATTGTCAGTATCATAACTAATAGGCATTTTATGATCACCTCAACACAGAGCCTAAAATATCTGTGTATATGATGAGGCCTAGTCCAGTACATGTGCGCTGTATTCAAAGGAACATTAGCAGATAAATATACATGTCATTCACTATTAATGACACTGAATGTAGAAGCAGTCACTTTTTCATTAATAGATATATAATATGCATGGCCACCACAAAATATTAAGGAAGGGTCAATAACAAAAAACATTGAAATGCAAAGTTGTTTGTTTCGTTGTTATTATTAAGTTATATCTGGTTAGCGATCTCAAACAAAAATAAGTCAATGAAAACAGTTTCTCTGAACAATATTCAATTTTATCAAATGTACTGTACATTTTGCAAGTCAATTTCCGGTAAAGTGAATTTACTGCTAACCAATTGAAAAACAAGCATGATTTTATTTTGATCTAATTTTAAATTATGCCTTAAAAGTACATTATTCAAACGACCCATTTATGCTAACAACTTCAACCCACCACAGTCATGAGTTATATTAAAAAAATAATGACTTGCAAACTTTTATGAAAAGTTATCTTTAAGTACTAATTTAAAATTTTAATTATACCCAGCCAAAAGAGAGCAACTGGCTCAGTTTGAATATTGTCAAACATGAAACATTGGTACATTATAAAGCAAGAATGGGGTTGGGGAATTTTTTAAATAAAAATATAACAACATAAAATCCAAACACAAACAACTTCACACATCAATGCAACTTTAAATAAGTATAATGCAAACAATGTTAATTAACAGACTAGTACATGTTAATTCATGAACAAATAATACATTTTATTTCATGAACAAATGAACAAACAAGTACATGCTAATTTGTGTACTACTACAGTTGAATTCATGAACAAACTAGTATATGTTGATTCATGAACAAACTAGTACATGCTAATTCATGAACTAACCAGTACATATTAATTCATGAACAAACTATTACATGTTAATTCATGAACTAACCAGTACATATTAATTCATGAACAAACTATTACATGTTGATTCATGAACAAACTAGTACATGTTAATTCATGAACAAACTAATACATGTTAATTCATGAAACGAATACATGTTAATTCATGAACAAACAAGTACATGCTAATTTGTGTACTACTAGTTGAATTCATGAACAAACTAGTATATGTTGATTCATGAACAAACTAGTACATGTTAATTCATGAACTAACCAGTACATATTAATTCATGAACAAACTATAACATGTTAATTCATGAACTAACCAGTACATATTAATTCATGAACAAACTATTACATGTTAATTCATGAACAAACAACTACATTTTAACTCATGAACTACATGACGATTCATGAACAAACTAGTACATGTTAATTCATGAATCTAGTACAATTCATGAACAATCTAGTACATGTTAATTCATGAACAATCTAGTACATGTTAATTCATGAACAAGTACAAATTAATTCATGAACAAACTTGTACATGTTAATTCATGAAACTAGTACATGTTAATTCATGAACAAGTACAAATTAATTCATGAACAAACTTGTACATATTAATTCATGAACAAACTAGTACATGTTAATTCATGAACAAACTAGTACATGTTAATTCATGAACAAGTACAAATTAATTCATGAACAAACGATTGTTAAACTGAATCATGTATGAAAATGTAAATTATGAAATATTCCCAGAAAACCAGAATATGATGGATATGACTTTTGAAAAGTAAGATCAAAATTGAATATTTGATATGCGATAGAAAAACATGGATGGTCATTCAGTTGGAATAAGAAATCAAGCGTGGAGTTTCCCTAGCTTTAGCATGATATATAACGCACACGATACAAATATATGGAATAGGCAAAGCACAAGTAACAATTAAAATACAATAGGTTATTGAAAGGACTCTACAACAACAAAAACGTGTCACAGAGAAAAAATGAAACAAGACCTTCAAAGACCATCCCTTAATTACCATACAATTTGTCCTATTATATGGTTAAACATATTGAAATGTGAATGTATGAAAGATAGGATTGTCAGCTTTAAGGATCTGGCCTGCTTAAGAAGCTTCCATAATGTAATATCATGACACTCCCCTTTCTAATGGTATATTCAAATCCTGAGACAAATAGGTTTATTCTTTCGACCTAAAGTTTGCTCAACTTAAGTTGAAGTATCAAACCAGAAGTATGAAAATTCGTTCTTGAATCAAATCAAAAATATTTATCCTCGAATATTTTCATGTATCTAATGTGGAAAAATAAATTTGATGAATCACTACATGACTTACCTATACCGGAAATTGGATCCTAGTGAGAAGAAATATTTTTTTGAGGGAGGGGGTGGTTTATGAAGGCGAAAGAATGTATGATGTTCCACACAGGACTTCCATAGCTTCTTGCAGGATCTGTAGCTGACTAGGTTGAACCCAATAAGGTTTTCCACATTATCATTCTGAAAAATAATTGTGCGATTGTGAACATTTTCATCTAAGCATTTGTGATAATTCTGTTTATAAATGAATGAATGTAGAACTGTTCATCGCAAACATATATTATGTTATGAATTTCATATACTAATTATCTTTTTTTGATTAAAGGCCCACTATACTTAATATATTTTTGAGGAAACATTATACTGTAGTTACAATGACTCTCTAGATTTCTAGATTTCATGAGAGGAATGTGATTTTTGACTCTAAGATTAACATTTTAGTCAATAATATTGACAAAATATGTTAAAGGATAATCCACAAGTCTTGCATAAAGCCTCTGTCTCCCTTACTTCCTACTTACCGACCTTATATAGAATGTGTACATGTTATAAAGGAGGGGGGTCGATGTGAGGCCATAATGCAAGACTTTACTTACCATTTCTTTCCGGGTTTGAATAAAGAACTGCTTCCTTTTGAATGAGATCTTTACTATTTTTGCCCTGAAAACAAAATAAAAAATATTGTAAGTAATGACAAACTAAATAAAAATCACTTGAAGAAATAGATTTATAAAGCCTAAATAGATGTTACTACAAGCATACATAAAGCAAGCAAGGAAACTTCACAAACCATGGCAAAATTTAAATTTACAAAAACTACATATACATACTAAGAATCCAGAAGAAATTTTGCATTCAATAATTTTATAGAAAGCTACGCCACTAATTACAAGTATATGCTGACCCTAGTAACAAAAATAATGAAGGACCCACGGTCCTATGCTCACACAGTTTGGAACCTTCAGAGGAATTTATATCCTGACTTTCAAACAAAAATATTGATTTGGATTTGTAGTCTCGAACTTTGACAAACTTAGATAGTATAGTTGTGTGACCTATTTGATGACCTTTGACCTTGAAAATTTTACTTATTCAGAGCTCAGTAAGGTCTTTTGTGATTAAGCTGACCAAAATTTACATCCAAAAATCAATTTGAAAAATCAACTTTTTTGACCTTTCGAAGATCACTGAAGGTCAAGTAAAGGTCAAATCCTAAAACTAATGTCAGATTTGAACTCCTGGTAACTTGTAGATGATTTTCAAAAAAAAATTTGGTCAAATTGAAGCAAGTTGAAAAATAACTTATTTTTACTGTTTTTTGACGTCAAATATCTCAAAAACGGTAAAAATTTGATGCTGACATATATTGAGAAATATGTAGGGAATGCTTAAATCTATCAATGATGTAATTTATTGCAGGAAATGATCAAGTATAAGGCAAACTTTAAGAATCTTGTCAATCACAAAACCTGCCATTGACTTTACACATGAGAAAGTTTCCTGAAAATAACTAAGTCCTACTTTTTTTCAAATTTTATAGAGTAAACACCAAAAACCGTAATTCCAAGAGCTTTGAAATCTTCAGAGGACATAAGTTGCATATACACCAACTACTAAAAGGTATTTGAAAGTTCTACTTCAACAAAGTGTCTAGTATTTACAGAAAATTTGAGTTTTTGACGTCAAAATCCGCAATTTCTCGGAAACCGGGCGAACTTGGGAAATGGCGATGATAGGTCAAATAGGCATTATGGATATGCATAAAATGAATGTGGATAGGACTCAATCCGAATAGCAGTTTTAATTTGTGCGGCCAATGTTGACGGACGGACCAACGGACGGACGGACGGATGGACGGACGAGCGGACGGACGGACCAACGGACAAACCAACGGACGGACGGACGCCTGGTCAATCCCATAGACTCACTGTGTGAGCCAATAATTAATGTTAAGTGAAAACAATAATAATTTAGGATGAGAACCTAAAATTCTTCAAAACGTGCTACACAGAAATTCAAATAAAATAAGTGGTGATGGGAATGCACACTGATTATCAAACCTGCAAAATGAACAAATTGTGAATAGAATTAACAAAGCAAATAACAACAGTTATAGGAAAGATGAATGCATGTAACATCAAGCTGTTGTTCAATAAAATGGTCATGGCCTATAGTACTAGTCCTATATACAATACTAGTCCTGCATACAAGGCTAAAACCACCATTTATCCTATATACAATACTAGTCCTGCATACAAGGCTAAAACCACCATTTAAATAATCTCTCTCACTGAACATAATTGTTTCAAACTTGTATGCAGGACTAGGCTGTCTAGAGAATTATTGCCCAAAAAATGTATCCATCATTTTTAATGAATAAGTATCGTGAGGCTTCATGACCATATTTATATGTGATAACAACAAATATGTATCTCACTCAGCCAGTTGCAATGTTATCAACAATAATCTTACACCCAAAAAGCTGTTATCTAACACAAAACCAGCTGTAATGTTATAGCTTACATTGAACTAGCTGTACTAAACCAGCTGTTATGTTATATCTGACATTGAACTAGCTGTATTGGAACAGCTCTAATGTTATATTTAACAATGAACTAGCTGTACTGAACTAGCTGTACTGAACCAGCTGTAATGTTATATCTAACATTGAACTAGCTGTACTAAACCAGCTGTAATGCTATATCTTACATTGAACTAGCTGTACTAAACCAGCTGTAATGTTATATCTAACATTGAACTAGCTGTACTGAACCAGCTGTAATGTTATAACTAACACTGAACTAGCTGTATTGAACCAGCTGTAATGTTATATCTAACACTGAACTAGCTGTACTGAACCATCTGTAATGTTATATCTAACATTGAACTAGCTGTACTGAACCAGCTGTAAAAATATAACTAATAACAATGAACTAGCTGTACTGAACCAGCTGTAATGTTATATCTAACATTGAACTAGCTGTACTAAACCAGCTGTAATGCTATATCTTACATTGAACTAGCTGTACTAAACCAGCTGCAATGTTATATCTAACATTGAACTAGCTATACTGAACCAGCTGTAATGTTATATCTAACACTGAACTAGCTGTATTGAACCAGCTGTAATGTTATATCTAACACTGAACTAGCTGTACTGAACCAGCTGTAATGTTATATCTAACATTGAACTAGCTGTATTGGGCCAGCTCTTATGTTATATCTAACATTGAACCAGCTGTAATGTAATAGCTAACATTGAACTAGCTGTACTGAACCAGCTGTAATGTTATATCTAACATTGAACTAGCTGTACTGAACCAGCTGTAATGTTATATTTAACATTGAACTACTGTACTGAACCAGCTGTAATGTTATATCTAACATTGAACTAGCTGTACTGAACCAGCTGTAATGTTATATCTAACATTGAACTAGCTGTACTGAACCAGCTGTAATGTTATAGCTAACACTGAACTAGCTGTACTGAACCAGCTGTAATGTTATATCTAACATTGAACTAGCTGTACTGAACCTCTAACATTGAACTAGCTGTACTGAACCAGCTGTAATGTTATAGCTAACACTGAACTAGCTGTACTGAACCAGCTGTAATGTTATATCTAACATTGAACTAGCTGTACTGAACCAGCTGTAATGTTATAGCTAACACTGAACTAGCTGTACTGAACCAGCTGTAATGTTATATCTAACATTGATCTAGCTGTACTGAACTACCTGTAATGTTACAGCTGTTATAATATAGTGAGAGCTGTTATGTTATATCTCACATTAAAATAGCTGTAATTAAAGCTTCTAAAGAAATAGCTAATCTCTCTTTGATACAGAGATTACTAAATATATGTAGTGAGGAAAGGCAGCAGTGCTGTTTGAAGGGATAATACATGAAATTAATTAAATTGAATTTTTTATATCAATAAGCATTTAAACCCATCTTATTAAAATGGTTTTGGAAAGCATATAAAAGTTGTTTGCATGAGCTTGTTAAGATGTGAGATCATGCTTTATAAGCTTCTTTTTTGCTTTGATCTCATGGCTTGACCAGCTATCATGCAGACAGCTTCTATGCCTTATTATGGTGCTCTGAAAAAGCTTGGGTAAGATATGACAGTGGTTTGTTAAAATGCAACAAAAAAACAACTGAATTATAACATGTAGCAATCACAAGTGATTCTAATGCAGCAGTAACAGCTGGTTAAAATACAGCAGTAACAGCTGGTTAAAATACACCAATAACAGCTGCTTAAAATGCAGCAATAACAGCTGCTTAAAATGCAACAATAACAGCTGGTTAAAATGCACCAGTATCAGCTGGTTAAAATAAAATAATAACAACTGGTTAAAATGCAACAATAACAGCTGGTTAAAACAGGTTTAAATGGAGGAATAATAGGTTTATAAAGAAGCAATACAACTGGTTTATAATGCAGTTACAACAGATGGTTTGAAATGCAGCATTAACAACAGGTTTAAAATACAGCAATAACAACTGGTTTATAATGCAGCATTAACAACTGGTTTAAAATGCAGCAATAACAACTGGTTTATAATGCAGCATTAACAACTGGTTTGAAATGCAGCATTAACAACTGGTTTGAACTGCAGCATTAACCAGAACAACGGCAACGCCAAAGCGTAGCGAATCCCATCGAACAGAAATGGCTGGCATTTTAACAAACGAATAGCAAATATCATAAAACAACACACCAGAAAGGCCACCATTTTCAAAATGGTTGCTCACTAGCCAAGTTGTCATTAGAAGAAATAATATGCTTTTAAGTAGCCACCTCTAAAATTTTTGAAAAATCTCACACGTACTTGTAAAATTACACACATAAAAATGGTGGCCATTTTTCAAAATGGCCAACTACTCCCCAAAGTTTTATTAGACAATGTGCCATGCTTAAAGTATTCACATATCAAATATGAACAAAATCGCTCCACTACTTTTCGAGTTATAGTAAAATATGTTAAAATGGCGGCCATTTTTCAAAATGGCCACCGTCTACCAAAAGTGTCATTAGAAATAGACAGTGTGCCATGCTTATAGTATTCACATACCAAATATGAACAAAATCACTCCACTACTTTTCGAGTTATAGTAAAATACGTTAAAATGGCGGCCATTTTTCAAAATTTTTTTCAAAATGGCCGCCTTCTACCAAAAGTGTCATAGGACAGTGTGCCATACTTATAGTATTCACATACCAAATATGAACAAAATCGCTCCACTACTTTTCGAGTTATAGTAAAATACGTTTTCAATTTTTTTTTCAAAATGGCCGCCTTCTACCAAAAGTGTCATATGACAGTGTGCCATGCTTATAGTATTCACATACCAAATATGAACAAAATCGCTCCACTACTTTTCGAGTTATAGTAAAATACGTTAAAATGGCGGCCATTTTGCCTTCTACCAAAAGTTTTTTAGACAGTGTGCAATGCTTATAGTATTCACATACCAAATATGAACAAAATTGCTCCACTATTTTTTGAGTTATAGCAAAAATCGTAAAATGCAAGTAAAGGCCGCCATTTTTCAAGATGGCTGACATGTGCTTCTTTAATATCTACATTTGTAGCATTATTAATGTCCTTTATAATTTTTTTACATTTAAAACATATTGCTATTACAGTTT